AAGGCAGCACAGATTGGTTGCTGTTCGCTGCAGTCTGCTGCTGCTGCCGACGAGGGTGAAGACACAGCGAGGCAGCACAGATTGGTGGCTGTTCGGAGCTGAACAAATGGCCGGAGCGTCGGTGGTCGAGGTTGGAGGCGCAGGTGCAACAAGGAGTATGTGGAAGAAGCTAAACTGAGGTTTCTTGCGTGGTTGCAGGTGAGTTAGGTGGGTTTTAGGCCATGCTTTTTATCTGAATCTTCTCATGTCAGCCCATCAGCAGGTAAGGACCTCCAAATAAAACTAAGGTGTCAATCTAAGAATGGGTGGATAGGGTATGGGTTATAGTACCACAGGTAATACCCCCCCCCCCCTTCTTTTTTTTCATTTTTATATTCCTCAATTAATCTCAAGCCTTAGTAATAAATATAAATGTAAAAGTGAAGGATTTCCCTTAGATTCAAACTAGATACACAACTAAAAGTGCCAAACTCCAATTATAAAAACTACATAAGTATAACCATATGCGCATATATTTATATATATATATATAAAAATTCAAGAATATTAGAAAGTATAAAAATACCTCGTAACGGAAAAGAGAGGAAACTTGACGCTAAAAGGACGATTGGAGACGGCGGGGAAGAGAATTTCAGGGTGTTACACGTTGGTACCAAATATAATTGGTTAATATATGGTATAAAATTTTACGTACCAATTATAGTTAATTGGTATATGACATATGAAAATAATTAATTTAATAATAATATAAACAAATTAATTAATTTAATAATAATATAAAGAAAATTCGCTATAAAAAAATAGAATGAAACAGGTTTATACACTATTATTTTATCAATAATTAATTTAAATATTCAAAAGAATTCAAACATCCAGCAAAATGATTAATCCACAGCTTTAATAAGCACCAAAAACACATCTGAATAATATTATATTATTTAATTATAATTATTTAATCACTTTTAAATTATTCGTTAAAAAACCTAACAACAACATATTTTACAATTAATTGGTCAAAAATAAATTTAAATAAATGATAAAAATATTGATTTATTTTAAAATTAAAGTTGTAAAAGCTTACATCATCTTATTAGGTGTCGGGTAGGTGGGTCTTGCAAGGTTTACGATATATTTTTGATTAAAAATTAAAATTATTAAAAAGAAAACGTAAGTTCAAAGATGAATCTTGAAATTTTTTCAAACGATGACATCATTTGATTATAAAAAAACTAGAAGGGTACTTGTGTAATGCATCGTGACTTTTTTCCATTTCAATGTTTTTGTTTTGTTTTTTACCCATGTCGATATAACACGATTTTATGTGATTTTGAGTAAACGATAATGTTTTTATTTTTGAATAAAATATAAATTTGTAAAACATATATCAATATTAGTATCAAATTAACTATTTAAAAGTTATTATATGTGTATTTTTTTAATTCATAATTGTTATTATAATTTAATTTTACGTAACGAAGTAACTCAATTTAGGTTTAATAATATATTTTTTTATAAAGATAATAATTAAGTATTTTGTTAGAACTCAATAATTATCCTAATTATATTTTAGATTTTTTATATTTTAAAATGATATGTTTATCCTCTACTTAATTATGTTTATCCGCAGTAAGTTACACGAATTCAAACATAGAGCTTTAATAAGTTGTACTTATGCACAATTTGTTTGTAATCTTGAATTTTAAGTAATATGCATCAATAAACAGTACTTTATGCATAAAAAAATTAAGAGTTTTTGTCAAATGCTTTATAATATACTATAGATAGTATAGGGAATTTTTTTTCCAAACAGTAGCACCGTTTGACTATAAAAAATATATACGGATTTTTTTTAAACGGTGACACACCATTTGACTAAGAAAATTACACTAACAAAATTTGAACTTGTGTCTGTGATGGAATAAAAGTATTGGAAACCAACTCTATCAAATAAAACTTGTTCTAATTTCACGAACCTAATTTTTTTCACCCTTCGACGGATGAATAATACGGTGGCACATATAGGTCCGTCCATGCATAAGTTATTTTCAACAACTATGTTATATTTTTTACTTTTTATTTTTAAAACTAAGAGATTTATTTTCTCCATTTTATCTACTGATTTTTTCTAATTTAAAGAGAGTTTAGTATAATTGTTAAAGCAAACCTTGTCTAAGGGGTTGTTTACCAAACGTTTACTTGGGTAAGAGCTTACTAAGTTACATTACCTTACCGTATGAATGTGGTAAAGATCAAAAATCTTACCCGGCAAGGAAAAAAGTCTTACCCGGTAAATGAGGGCGATGACTCTTACCACGGTAAGCACTTACCAGGTAAATTGTTGCATACAATGTCATTTTTGTGAACTAAAATGATAGTGTTGAATTTTACCGGTAAACACTTACCGGTTAAGTGTTTGGTAAACAACCCCTAAATATATAATTTTTTAAAGTATCATAGCTGTTACAGATTCTCTTACAAGTTAAAATGCGTCTCTAACTTATTATTTAAAACATAAGAAGTAAATATTTTTAAAATTAAATAAGATAATCAAATACTTTAAAATTAAATGTCTAGAAAAAGAAAATCTATTTAAATTAAATAATTCTTTCGAAGATTTTAAATTCTCATTTTAAATAAATTAGAAGGGTACTCGTGTAATGCATCGAGACATATCTCAATTTCAATGTTTCATTTTATTTTTTATTCATGTCGATATAATACAGTTTTATATGGTTTTGAGAAAACAATAATTCTTTTATTTTTAAATAAGATATAAATTTGAAAATATCATAACTTTTTAAAAAATATATATCAATATTAGTATCAAATTAACTATTTAAAAGTTTTAACTATTTGTAATTTCTTTAATTCAATATTTTTATTATAGTTTATTTTAACGTAACGAAGTAATTTAATTTAGGTTTAACAATATAATTTTTTATTAAGATAATCATTAATTATTCTGTTAGAACTCAATGATTATCCTAATTATATTTAAGATTTTTTATATTTAAAATGAGATGTTTCTTCTGTATTTGATTATGTTTATCTACAGTTAGTTACGTTTATCTGCAGTTAGTTACACGAATTCAAAGATAAAGTTTTAATAAGTTGTACTTACGCAAAATTTACTTGTAATTTTGAATTTTAAGTAATATGCATTAATAAACAGTACTTCGTGCATAAAAAATGATTTTTAAGAGTTTTTATCAAATGTTTTAAATATAGTATAGATTCTGAAAACATTATAAAAATGTTTTGAAAAATTAAATAATTATCATAAATTATAAATATTATAATAATAGATATTGAGTAAATTGCATGAAAAAACAACATACTTAGGTAATATACTTTTAAAACTTCCATTTTAATACGTAAAAATGTAAAGTTATAAACATTTAAGTATTCGAGTAATCGATTGAAGTATTAACCGGTTACCATGCTAATCTAACGAGTGATGTGGTATCCAACTCAATATTATTTGCTATTCAACTCAATTTCATCCGATCACTCACTACATCAGTATAATAACCGATCAATGTTTCAACCGGTTACCCGAGTACTTAAATATTTAATATTTTACATCTTAGATACCAAAATATAAGTTTTGAAATTACGTTATCCAAAATAGAAAATCAAGTTAAAGTACGTTACCCTTTCATTCAATTTATCCATAAATATTTATAGAAAATTATCAAAATTCCTTTATTATAATTAACGTTTATATTAAAACAATTAAAATATTAATTAAATAAGATATTTATTAAGCTAGAAAAGTGATTAAGACCGATTTATACAGCTTTTAAATAAGACCAACTCCAATAGTATATACCTTAAAAAAAATCTGAATTGATAATTGTTTGCTGACTATTATTTTTGTGTCTCCTCCAAAGTCATCCTAATACCAAAAAAACAAAACAAACAAGAAGAAAAATTCGCCTACGGAACAGTCCAGAGGTTCAAACATGCATCCCGTCATCATCGCCTTCTACTTCCTCAATCTCTACCGTCCGATCATCATCACCTACTTCTTCTTCATCCACGTCATCAATCGCATGACCCATCCATTCCTCCATGGGTGCGCACTCAACCTTATGGTGCACCCTCCAATCATGCGCCTGACACCCACGTGAACAGTAGTTCACCGTCCCACAACCCGAACACCTCCTGAACTCATTCCTCCGGGTCTCGGGTCGCCCGCATCCACCGTAGGAACACAGCCTCAAACCCGGAGCTCCACTTCTTCTCAATCCGAACCACTCCACCAAAAACCGGTTCGCCGGGTGGAGTTCCAGACCCGGTGAGTTACACCGGTCATTCTCCGATAATCTGACGTCATCGGATGGCCATAGGTATCCGTCTGAGTCTGTTAGATTTGGCCGTCGGTGGTGTTGACTATGGAACTCTAACGGCACCGGAGACGATGAAGTGTTCACGGCAGCGCGTAAGATACACGAAAGCTCACGCGCGTTGGCTTGCACGAGTAGACGGCGTCCTTCCTCAACGTTTTTCTGTACACCATAACCGTCTTGAAGGCAGTGCCCTAGCTCCCGGAGAGCGTCAGCGTGGCCGAGAAAAGCCGCTCTGGCACAGAGAGCAACTCCGGCACGGAGGTCCTTGTCGTTCTTCAGACCACCGCTGCCGTTGAACTGAATCAGAGCCAAGGAGTACAGTGCCGGCGCGTGAGACTTAATCGCTGCCTTCGCCATTAACGACGCTCCACTTCCTCGATTTTGTAAACAATAAAATCGGATCTAAAAAAACACCAAAAATATCTAATCAAACGAAAGAAAACTATGATTTCTACGACGAAAATCCCGTTAATCAAGTCGGTTTTCACAATACTAATTACGAATTAATTACTAATTACTAATTACCATTCCGAGAGTATAATACGCCTCTTTGTTGCCGGCGTTGACGCACAATTTCAGAAACCGGTGAGCCTCATCCGACCAGTTTTTAGCTCGGACGGCAAGCGTTTCCGAACAAGCGTTCGACAAAACCAAAGGATGAACACCTAATTTGTTCAACCTCTTACATCTATAAACATGAAATCAAAACATAAAACAGATTAGATTAGATTTTCTACAGTTCACAATGATGAAAATCAAAGAAAGCATCTAAAAACGGAGAAGAAATTCCGTATGCATATGGAGAAACGAAAACGTACGTAAGAAGAACAGTGACGAAATCAGACGGAGAAGAAGAGGTAGAACTGAGCTTGCAGAGGATGGAGATAACAATTTCATCAGGTAACGATTCAAATAGATCGGATCTTCTTCTTCTTCCATGATGAACAGCTTCTCCTTCGCATAGCTTCTTCGTCATGAATCTCTGTGTTTCTGTGTATAGATGAAGGATTTGAAAAACCCACCTGCTCTTAGTCTAAATGCAGAAATACACAGCATCTAGAACGGTTGATTCACTAGTTTGTTGCCGAAACTGATAATAAAGAAATTTTGAAAAGGTTTTTATAGTTCATGAGGAGGAATGGAGGAGAAAAGATGGATGAATGAAACTGCTACTATTAAGGACAAAGAACCCACGTAAGAACATACTACAAGAATATGGTGTGGTGTATACGTCTGTTTATTTATATATATATATATATATATACACTATATATATATATATATATATATATAGGGTTATATGTATACACACACATATCTATATCTATATCTATACTATATTATAAAACATTTGACAAAAACTCTTAAAAATCATTTTTTATATGTAAAGTATTGTTTATTGATGTATATTACTTAAAACTCAAGATTGCAAGTAGACTGTGCGTAAGCACAATTTATTTAAAATGCTTTATAATATAATATAAATATAGATATGTAATATGCATTAATAAACGAACTTTACGTATAAAAAATAGTTTTTTAGAGTTTTTGTTAAATGCTTTATAATATAGCATAGATATACGAAAAATCGTGTAATAGTAAGAGTTAAGGTGAGAAGTATAAGAATAAATCTGGATCGTTGATCAATTTAATCTCACCCTCATCCAATGAATTACAGTTATCACGATAATTGATTCGAAGCATTTTGATGGACCTCATTAGCGTTGATTTTCAATTAAGATTAATCCAATGGTGGATATCCCTTTACCTTTCTCACCATAATTTTCATTCTTGCATGAACTCAACTATATATATATATATATATATATATATATATATATATATGGGGGCCTAATCAAATGAGAACTAATTAGTTTGTGGTAACCATGAAGTCCAATCTCAACCACAAATCAATAGATAAATTAAGAAATTTTTAATTTTGGTAATTTTTAATTAAAATTTTAATACGATGACATTTTAGGTATTTTATCTCATCTCTCCTATTTCCTCTCTCCTCTCTTCTCTCTCCGTCTCCTGGTCTCCGTCCCCCCGCCTCCGGCCACCGTCCTTCAGTGATACCATAGTGGTATCACAATGTATCTTATATGTGATTGGGTATCACACCGAGGTCGTTTGTGTGGTCGATCGGATATGTAACAATGTGGTATCACAATGTATCTTATATGTGCTTGAGTATCACACTGTGGTATCACCAGAAGAAGGTGGCCGAAGGCCTGAAGACGGGGACGGAGAGAGAAGAGAATAGAGGAGAGATGAGGGAAAATACCTAAAATGTTCTTACATTAAAATTTTAATTAAGAATTACCAAAATTATAATTTTTTAATTTATCTATTGATTTGTGGTTGAGATTGGATCCCACAGTTACCACAAACTACTTAGTTCTTCCTTGAATGGGCCCATATATATATATATATATATATATAATATTTAGATTATGTTATGCAAATCATTTTGATTATGAAATACTTTGGGTTAACACTTATCCGGGCAAGAACAACAAATACTTTGGGTTAAAAACATTATTTCAAAATATTTGACCAATGGAACATTTTAACTTTGAAGTTATAAATCATCTGATTAATGATTTAAAATCACAAAAACTATAAAATTAGCATCGAAAGAGACGGAAAATAAAACAAAATTTGAAACAATATTATCGTTTTAGGTTGTCAGCTTCATAATCAAAATGATTTGCACAACATCATGCGTGAGACCGGTTTTTGGCCAAAAAATGAGAGTCCAAACAATTTTTGGTGTGCATCTCGATTTAAAGTAAAACGATTCCCCTTTAAAATATTCAAATTTTATTTGTAAACATAAATGGCTAAATTAACTAAGGGACAATTTACCAAATGCATATTCGAATAAGTGTTTACCAAGTCATATTACCTTACTGATGAATATGGTAAAACCAATAATCTTATCCGGTAAGAGCAAGGCAAGGACCAAAAGTCTTATCCGGTAGACGATGACCTTTACCATGGTTAGCGCTTACCGGGTAAATTATTGCATATAATACCGTTTTTGTTCCCTAAAATATTACCCAATAAGTAAGTGATAGTGTTGAATTTTACCGGATGGTAAGTGTTTGGTAAACGGTCCCTAAATCATTAAAATTTGAAACATGAGAGTATAAAGAAGATATTCATCATATGATTGTTTATTATAAGTTACATAATTAAAAAGATTAAAAGCATCTCTAACACGTATTTTATTTTCCTTTTCTTTTTTAAATTTAAAAACTTTCAGTTCTTTTTCGTACTTTTCTTTATTTTAGAGAACATCTTAATACAGTTGTCTGAGCAGATTTTTCTCAAATCTTTAAAATTTCTAAATATAACAGATGATGTAAATATTGATCAAAAGACAATAAATAAAAGAACCGAACAGTTAAAGTGCATACAAGAGGAGTTATAAAAGAATTAAAAGTGCATACCATCGGGGGGTTATGTAACGTTAGGCCTGTCTTTTCTTTTATAAGCATACAGTTCATTCCATTTTTTTGTCGTTACACCAATATAGTAAATGTTCTATGTAGGTTTTTTAAAACAAACTGTAATTTTTGATTTGCAGTTTGTCTTTTTACTACCTTTTTTTATCTGATTATGGTAAAAAAAAAGTCTAACACCGTGAACAAAAGGTGATTTACGGTTTCAGGCTTGTTGGATTCTGGATGTATTGAAAGAAAAAAAATTGATGGTTGTTTCTTAAGAAAGGTTGGTGATTGTGGCTATTTAAGTTCACTATAAGCGCACTCGTGTAAATGCAGCGAGATAAATCTCGATTTTAATGTTTAGTTTTATTCTTTGTTTCTATCGATATAATACGATTTTATGTGGTTTTGAAAAAACGATAATGTTTTTATTTTTGAATAAAATATAAATTTGAAAATAATAACATAGAATTTTGAAGGAAAAAAATCGATATTAATATCAAATTAAATATTTAGTAGTTCTCGTTTTTTTGGGTGTAATTTCTTTAATTCAATTTTTTATAATAATTTAATTTAGATTTAATAACAAATTAATTTATTTTTGGTTTAATAATATAATTTTTTATAAGATAATAATTAAAACATTATGTTATGATTATCTTAATTATAGTTTAGATTTTTCATATTTAAAATAAATGTTTATCCTGTATTTGATTATGTTTATCTGCAGTTAGTTACACAAATTTAAAAATGAAATTTTAATAAATTGTACTCACACAAAATTACTTGTAATTTTGAATTTTAAGTAATATGCATCAATAAACAGTACTTTATGCACAAAAATTGGTCATTAAGAGTTTTTGTCAAATGTTTTATAATATACTAGAAGGGTACTCGTGCAGTGCATCAAGACACATCTTGATTTCAGTGTTTCGTTTTATTCTTTTTTGTCAATATAATACGGTTTTATATTGTTTTGAGAAAACGATAATGTTTTTATTTTTGAATAAAATATAAATTTGAAAATATAATAAAATTTTGAAAAAAAAATGTATATCGATATTAGTCTCAAATTAATCTTTTTAAAAGTTCTTGTGTTTTGGTGTAATTTTCTTAATTCAAATTTTTTTAATTATAATTTAATTTAGGTTTACTAACAAATAAATTTAATTTAGGTTTAATGATATAATTTTTTATAAAGATAATAACTAAGTATTCTGTTAGAACTCAATGATTATCGTAATTATATTTTAGATTTTTTATATTTAAAATGAGATGTTTATTCAATATTTGATTATGTTTATCTATTATTTGAATTTTAAGTAATATGAATTAATAAACAGCACTTCGTGCGTTAAAAATATTTTTAAGAATTTTTGTTAAATGCTTTATAATATAGTATAGATTATCCCACTCAAATGTATATTCAAAATACAATATCATAAATTGATTTAATGAAAAAAAAAACATATTAACAAACCAATTTATATAAATTCTATGACCATATTTAATATTTTAGTTGTTTATAGATCTCAAAATTTGGACAAAATATATTGACAACAAATCAATTTTATTTATTAAAATATTTGATAAAAACCATTAAAAATCATTTTTATGTACTAAGTACTGTTTAATTATGCATATTACTTAAAATTTAATACTACAAGTAAATTGTGCGTAAGTACAACTTATTAAAGCTCTATTTTTGAATTCGTGTAACTAACTGCAAATAAACATAATCAAATACATAATGAATATCTCATTTTAAAAATAAAAATATATCAGGATAATCATTAAGTTTTAACGGAATATTAAATTATCATCTCTATAAAAATTATATTATTAAACAAAAATAGATTACTTTATTATTAAACCTAAATTAAATTCTAATAAAAAATTAAATTAACGAAATTATACGAAAAACAAGAACTTTTAAATAACTAATTTAATACTAATAACGATACTTTTTTTTCAAATTTATATTTAATTCAAAAATAAAAATATTATCATTTTCTAAAAACCACATAAAATCATATTATATCGATATAAAAAAATTAATAACATGAAACATTCAAATCGAGATATATCTTGTTACACTGTGCGAGTAACCTTCTAGTTAAATTACAGTGATAATATACAATTTTCCAGGTTTAATCTCAAGTCTCAACAAAATCGAACTGAAACAACTAGATAAAGATGGATACAGTAGATGTAAAAAAATGCAACTGAGAGTACACTTGTTACCATAGAATAGATGCACAAGGATCTGGTTTTTTTCGGGATTGGACCTTTCAAGTCTGTTTTCAGTAAGCAAAAAAGAGTCGTGTTTTCCATATACAGAGGTTGTGTGTAAAAATAGACCTGATCAAAAAAATTTTCATACGGGAACTTTTTTCGAGCCCAATCAGGCTTTTTTGGAACGGATTTTTAAGACCCGAGCCTATGTTTTTCTAAAAACTTAGGCTTGGCCGGATTTTGCATTCAGACTTTTTTTGGCATCTCCACTTGTTATTCAAAGTTTTTTCTTTTTTGCAATTTCAAATATTTAAGGGGGGCATTTTGTACATTATTGTAAATATGAGGTTTATTTATGTAATTTTCAGCGAATCAGTAATTACGATAACCGAAGTTGTCGTACTATATCAAAGGAAGCAACACCTCGTAACGGTCAACCCTCCTTTTGACCACATTCTAATAATTACCATATAACTTTTATATATTTATC